CTGCAGAAGTTGATAAAAATCTTCAATTTCCTCATCTTTGGCTTTGGTGGTTGGTACATAAATTTGAATAATAGTCGTATTAATGGGTCTTCCTTGTAGGCATATGGATATTATCCTATCACTGACAGCATTGTACTTCGGGACATATCTTAAAACATCCTTTGTGATGATGAATGCCACACCATTTGTCTTCAAATTGTCATTCCCAGCATAGTAGATCACATGGTTGTCTGATCCCAAATGGCCAAAACCAGTCCATTTCAGCTCACGAATGCCAAAGATATCAATCTTTATGAGTTCCATTTCATTTTTGACAACTTCCAATTTTCCTAGATTTATACTTCATACATTCAATGTTCTGATTATTAATGGATATTTGGAACTTTTTCTCCTCAATCTGAGTAGTGCCACATCAGCAGATGGAGGTCTCCAAAGCTTTACCTTATCCATCAGTAAGTCTGGTTTAATTCCGGTGATGCAGCTTGTTCTGTCGTATTTTGAGAGCCTTCTAACCTAAGAGACTCATCCTCCTCCTCTGTATTGGACAGTGTTTCCAGACTACTCATAAAGTTGCACAGTAATGTATCAAACAATGTTTCTCTGCTATTCGTAAGGTTTTTCCTGGCCAATTCTTTGAGAAGTGGATGGCCTCTTCCTTCTTCCTAGTCTGTCTCAGTCTGCAAGCTGGGCTGACTCCTGTGCCCCATGTACACCCCATTGGGTTTGAAACACCAGTGGCACAGCCTCAAGACACAGCAACACGTCCCCACTGTAGGACAAACTGCCAGACAAGTTTGTCTCCCTTAGCTGTTCGAAACCTCTCCAACCTCTCTTTACCTGAATTCCTGCTGCTGCCTCCTCACTCTGTCCTGGCCTCCCTGGCCTTTTTCCTCCCCCCCACCCCTTTCCTGCCTTGTGCTTGTGGGGCATGGCCTGGGTTCCCTCCCCTTACCTGGATCCCTGCGGCTGCCTCCTGCCTCTGTCCCTGCCCCCCTGGCCTTTTTCTCTCCTTTCCCCTGCTTTCCCACCTTGCCGCTTGTGGGGTGTGGCCTGGGTTTCCTCCCCTCACCCACATCCCTGCGGCTGACTCCTTATCTGTGAAGATATAAATGCCTAATTAAGGGAAAGTTGCTGAATCTAGAGTAATATTTCATTAGAAAACAACAAATTATTCATTTAGGAGTAAAAATTGTTATAGTGAGCTACACTGAATAGAAATTGAGAAAATCTGTGTTATTTAAGCTACAATATAGTTAAAACAACCAATTATAGTTTTAACTAAAATGAACAGGGTGTCAGATATCTGACTGACACGACAAGGGTGAATCCAGCCTCGTGCTGAGGGTCCACAGGAACAGTCAATGCCCCGAATGATGGTAACGACTGAGGCTCCCGCGTTCGCCTGTGTGTCTGCTGTGCTGACCCAGGACCTGCTCTGTTTCCTTGCAGCGTCCTCCTTGGTTGTGCCACTGCTGAGTCCCACGGCTGTCTTCCAGCGACTGCTTAGCATACTTCTGTCCTTGATGCCGACCTACCTTCTTCTGAGCACGGGGTATACACTTTTAAAAATTCAATAATAATAGCAAGTTTTAAATGGTATTTTGACATTTTCTCTACCAGCATTTAACCTTTAGAAATGAAAATGTTCAGTAAATCTTGAGAGATAAATTATAAATGTTTTTACTGTTTTTCTTATCATTTTCATAGTATGGCTTGTTGTCTTTCTATTTTTTTCCCTGAAGTTGCTAGAATGCCATTTTACTACAGTGTTAAAAAATTCTGATTGGTTATACAGGAATTTTAAATTTCAAATAATGATTTAGAATGATTTTAGTCTATGTTTTACTTTCCTTTCATGTACCTTAAATTATGGTTGTGATTTGTTCATTCTTCTTTGAATTTAATGTTTTATTTGTTTTCATTTTTCCTCTTACATGTATCATAGTATAAATATTCCTTTGATTCAAAATATTTTCCCAAAATTCAAAGACCATATTTTTATTTACTAAACTTTTCTGAAAACAGAATAGCAACTTGGAGTGGGGCAGATCCTGAATAGTCCTGAGGGTCCTGTAAAGACAGCAATGTATTCCATCCATTTACTTTCTTTTTTTAATGCATTTTATTTAAATAAAATTTATGTGCAGTGAAATATACAAAACTAAAGTGACATGAGTCAATGCATTTTTTTTTTTTGCAGTGTTCCCTCCCCTCCCCTTCTACCCCTGGAAACCAACTAAGAAGGTTTCCTTGCATAAATAAACCTTTCCTTGACTTTTTACAATAATGAACTAATACTATATTTGTCCTGTGATTGACTTATTTCACTCAGAATAATGTCTTCCAGGTTCATCCACGTTATGTGGTGTTTTGCAGATTCTACGTTATTCTTTAGTGTTGCATAGTATTCCACTGTACTATAGTTTGGTTATCCATTCTTCTGTTGATGGGCATCTAGGTTGTTTCCATCTTTTTGCTATTGTAAATAGTGCTGCGATGAACATGGGTGTTCATATATCTGTTCTTGTCCTGGCTCTCACTTCTTTAGGATATATACCTAGTCGTGGAATGGCTGGGTCAAATGGTATTTCTAATTCCAGCTTTTTAAGCAATCGCCATACTGTTTTCAACAGTGGTTATATCATTTTACAGTCCCACCAGCAGTGTATGAGAGTCCCAATCTCTCCACATCCTCACCAGCATTTGTTATTTTCTGTGTTGTTGTACTTTGCCATTAGTGCTAGAGTGAGATGGTGTCTTATTGTTGTTTTGATTTGCATCTCTCTGTTGGGTAATAATCATGAGCATTTCTTCATGTATTTGCTGGCCATTTGAATATCCTCTTTGGTAAAGTGTGTATTCATGTATCTGACCATTTTTTAATTGGATTGTTAATTCCTTTGCTGTTGAGGCGTTGGAGTTTTCTATAAATTTTAGAGATAATCCTCCCTTGTCAGATACGGAATTATCAACAAGTATGAATGTGTTGCTGTTATTTTGTTATGTGTTTTTTTATGGTCTTGATTTCTTTGTTCCATATAATTTTCTGTGCTAAGCTCATTTTGTTTATGAATCATGTTATCACTTCCTTCGTTGCTATTGTTTTAGTTTTTGCTAAATATCTGTGCTGGTCCTCTTTTTATTTTAACATGAAGGTTTATCATTTTTCTTTGAGGTTACCCTGTGATTTATAATTTTCTTCCCAAGTTTGGAGCAGTGCGTTCTATCTTACAGTTGTCTTGACTTCCCTACCATTTAGAAATTCTGTAACTATGCAATTTTTTCCCCTGGTTTTGGTTTCTAGTTGTCCTCATTTGTCAATTGATGTCTCTGATTCCCTGTTTACAATCTTGTAGGCTTATTTACTTTGGATACTTCCATAGCTGGGTTGGTTTCTGGGTTATGCCACTATGTGTGTTAATGGTCAGTTGCTGTTTGCTGCTGTTGCTTCTCTGTTCAAAGGACTCCCTTTAGCATCTCTTTTAAGGCTGGTCTGGTTTTAACAAATTCCCTTAACTTTTGCTTCTTTGGAAATGTCCTAATTTCACCATCATATCGAGGAACAATTTTGCTGGGTATGTAATTCTTGACTGGAAATTTTTCTCTTTCAGGGTTTTATATATACCATCCCATTGTCTTCTTGCCTGAATGGTTTCTGCTGAAAAATCCAAGCTTACTCTTACTGGTTGCCCCTTATAGGTATCTTTTTGTTTTTCACGTGCTGCTTTCAGGATTCTTTCTTTGTCTTTGGTTTTGGTGAGTTTGATGATGATATGTCTTGGTGATTTTCTTTTGGAGTCTATCCTGTTTGGGGTTCATTGGACTTCTTGAATGGATATATTCTCATCTTTCATCATACCGGGAAAATTCTCTTCCAACAAGTCTTCGACAATTTTTCCTGTGGTTTTGTCTTTTCCTGTCCTGGAATTCCAATTACACGTAGGTTATTCCTTTTGATGGTATCCCACATGAATCTTAGGCTTTCTTCATTTTGTTTGGATCTTTTTTTCTGATCGATCCCTTTCCAAAGAAGTATTGAAGTATTTGCCTTCAATCTCACTAATTCAGTCTTCCATTGATTCAATTCTAGTCCTTTGACCATTCAGTGTGTTATCTGTTTCTGAAAATTTAGTATTAATCTTCTGGATCTCTGTCTGTAGATTTTGTATTGTTTCTAATTTTTCATTTTGTCTTTCAAAATTTTTCTACAGTTTTCTCTGTGTTTTCCTCAATTTTGTTAGTGTTTTTCCTTGACCTGTCTCTCAATCCGTTGAAGGTACCTAAATGTAATTCTTTTGAATTCCTTATCAGGGAGTTCCAATGCTGCATCTTCCTCAGAGATGTTGTTTGAGTGTGAATCCTGGTCCCTTGTTTCTCCTGCTTTACCTTGCTTCTTTGTGTGGAATGTGATGCTCGGTTGTCTCTGAGACATTGTGGAGTTTTTGTGTTTATATAATTGGTGACTATATGTTGGAGTGACTTGCCCACAATTTCTGTTTTCTTTGTTTTGTCTGTATGTTATCTGTGTAAGTCGGGTATTGGGCTGTGCTCCTCTACTCGCTGGTTGGCAGCACTTACACACTTAACCACCTGTCTCCATTCCTGTTGTCAGCCTCCTGTATTTTCTTGGCAAATGGAGCCTATTCTTGTTGCTGTTGTTGTTATGTGCCATTGAGTCGGCCCCAACTCATAGTGACCCCTCCTTGGATTGCCAAGGTAAACATTCAAAATGGTTGTACCCTCAGTCACTTTAAATATCCAAAATGGCCACCTCTTGTAAACAATCAAAATTACTGAGCCCTTGGTCATTTTAAATATCCAGAATGGCTGCTGCTTGTAAAATTCAAAATGGCTGCACCCTCCAGACAGCCGAAAGCCCACAGCTAAGGTTGTCTCCTTCCTTGCTGTTCCCTTCCTAGTCATAGGCCACCAGCAGAGTCATCCCTGCAGTCCTTGGCAACCAGGGCTGATCTTTAAGTCAATTCTCAGGTCCTAACACCACTTGGAAATATTCACCAACAGGGTCCCGTCAGAGTAGCCGATAGTCCACTGCTCTGACCATCTCTGTACTCACTGTATTCATTTAGGTTTGTCTACTAATTCATGCACTTCTGTATATGCCCCTTCAAAGCTCAGAGCTCAGGATTATCTTCTGTGTCTCTGTCAATTGGTTTCTCTTTCCTTTGTTGAAGAAGGTCTGTGTAGCTTGTCTGACTAGTCCACCATATTACCAGAAGTCTTCTCCATCTATTTACTTTTAACGGTTCTTTGCTTGTTTTTGAATTTTACTTCCTCCCTGTTTAAATCTTTATGAGGGTGAGAAATGGGCACATTATAACAAACACTGACTAGAACAGACAACTGAGTAAATACTACACATAGTTCGACTTTTGACCCCATATAGAATCTTGGTCCACGTTAGACTAATCCTAGGGAATTAGCCATTACAGTATCAACATATTATTCCCAGTTATTTTTCATTTTGTAAAACCACTTGGTTCCAAGACTTGTGTTCAGTTTTTGGGAGACTTAGTTGTTCTAATTTGAAGTTAGAAGTATGTGCTCAAAAATCTTCTTATTTGTCGTTGGCTGTTGTCAAGTTGGTTCTGACTCATATTAGCCCCGTGTGACAGATTAGAACTGCCTCACCAGGTTTCCTAGGCTGTAATCTTTATGGAAGCAGTTCACCAGGTCTTTCTCCTGTGGAGCCACTGGGTGGATTGGAACCACTAGCCTTTCAGTTAGCAGCCAGACATTTAACCATTGCTCCAGATCTTCTTGCAGTAGACCCTAACATCCTAAGTGACCTAGACCTGATGTGTTCTTGTAGTTCCCAGATAGGAGATGATCCAGAAGGGCATTGTACCTCCCTTCTTCCCTCAGCAGAGCTCCCACACTTCTCTTCTTTTCCCTTCTCCTGTCTAACCAGATCTGGGCCATGCCTATGAAGATGCCATAAAAGCAACAGGGAACTTTTCACCAGTTACCTAATCAGATATTAACATGGGCTGGCTTCAAGATTTTGAACTTTCAAATAAAATTATAAGTCTGTAAGCATCCTTCTGTTCTTAATCAAGTGTGGAAAATATCCTGAGGCCTTAAAACCTTTTTACTCCTTCCCCTTTAGTGGTGAAATTTCAAGATAGTTTATTATATCAGAATCCATCATCAAAATACATGTGAAGTAGAATACACACACACTTTTTGTCTACATAAGAGAGCAGATAATAACCTCCTTTCTAATGTAACTCAGCTTTTTGGGGCGACACATGAGTTTCATTAGGAAATACACCCAGGGATTAGCTTCAGGAAATAAATGTTTGAAAGGGTCTAGAAATATGTGCTCACTTCTACATAGTCACCTAATAACCAGTAAGCCTTTTTCCTTTTTGAATCTTTATATCCTAAAGCAATAAACAAAATCAAGGGAATGTGTAGTAGATTTAAAGATATAGCAAACCTAGCAGTAGATCTAATTCCCTGAATAAGAAGGAAGGGAGGAAGGAAGAAATGGAGGGAGGGAGGGAAGAAGGGAAGCAGGGAGGGAGGGAG